ATATATATATATATATATATATATATATATATATATATATATGTATAACATAGCCCTAACAAATTTTACAAGAAAAAAATTTATATTTACGTTATGTGGAATATCTTTCTTCAAATTAATTCCACTGACAACGATACATATTATATAATTATTATTGATTTCCCGCATAGAGTGAAAGTTTGATGAAGTAAAAAGAAAGATTTCAAATATAAGTTTTTATTTCACATATAATCCGTCCCCCAATATTAAAGAAATATCGATGTGCAATTCATAAGTTATTTATCATCTTTATCATCTAGACTATACTATTTGCATATAATGCATTTGCATAATTAAGTTTATGTACTGAATACAGTTTATATATAATTTTTTTCTCCTTTTCTGAGAAAACGTATTACTTTGATACGAATCGATATTATTCATTATAAAGCGTACACTTTTATCGACACACGTATGCTATTTCGAAAATTTATCGCTAAGCATCACAAAGCATCACAAGAATAGCTCCACGAATTAGTTATAATTGGATTGTAGATGATTATATGAAATGCAATATAGCTTTTACCGAAGGAAGTACCTCTTAATATTTGTAGAGTATCATAGATAATATTATAAAGAGCTTCTTTTTGTAATTTCGTACATTGTGTTAATTTGTATAATATATGTATATGTAACACGTTCATTTTAATACGAACTCAAAGGCAATTGTCTTAGTCAACGTCTAACACTGACCATGCTTATAAAAGAAAGTTCAAGATAAACGAGACCACGTTCAGATTCGTACGTCACTGTAATCACGTCTTTTTATACTTTTATATTTCGCTGTGGATCAAGTCATTTGAACGCGACAATTTTTACGTGCGTATATGTTCACTATCGAGCTTCGGTTTACGAATGCCACACCATTATGCACCATCTTGCAAGTGTAATGCGTGACAATAATAGTTTTTAAGCAATATTTCGGAAGAATCTTTGTTATTTCTTTTTATAATTACGATTTTTAGAAAAATCACTTCACAAACAAGATACATGCACGGACGCTCAATTAAAACATTTGATTGCATTTTATGTCTCTCTTTCTCTTTTAAAGTTGTTTTAAAACAAACAGTTGTCAAGTATCGATTAGTCATAGTTTCGCACTTCTACAAGTACATCGTCTTCCCTCTCGTAAAGTAATCTCTTGCGATTCAATCATTGTAAACACAATCATTCAACACTTCGATCTCAATGTAATCATTTCGAAAAAGAATACAGTGTAAATGCGTTAATTAGATTAGGCCTGTACTTACGAAATAAGGCCTTTCCGTTCATCAGTGAACTTCCAGAATTTGTTTAAAAGAGGTGTTTCCAGAACCATTGAGAAAATGTTAATGTGTAAATAAGACAATGTTGAACATTAATTCAGCGCATCGAGTGAAAACATGCGAGGAACGATTGTAACGAAATCTTTATTCTAAAGGTATCGCGTCCCGAATATTATATATCCAAATGCCACAGTGGATCAACAAATTATAGTCGATCGTGTATTAATCGCGATAGAATCTCTCACACGCTTTCGATTTATCACTATATGTACGGCGCTACAGTGAATAAGTGATGTTGCCCACGAGGTTATAAAACTAATGTAATAGCAGACTTTATTTCCGATTGTTATTGTTCGACATCGAATCTTATCGAGATGATTTTTATATCACGCTATAGCAAGCTGTTCTCGATGAATGTCATGTCGAAAAGTGTCGGACGAATGCGGCAGTACACAGCTATCCGGCTGCATAATTGCTAAGTGATATTCCTGTAGAAAGCATGCTCTAGAACGTAAGGAGATAATGATCCCTTGGAGCTAATGATCTAAGAGCGAAACAATTTTTAATGTTATTAACGTTAGGCCTATTATGTACATATATATATGTATAAGCGCATCGCGATCCGAGTGAGAGTTATATAAATCTATTTTCCCCTCCTTTGTCAACGTGTTGTCCAACCGTGCATACGTCAAATTAACAATCGTACCTGTAAATAAAAGCCATTGGAGAGTAAATCACTCTCTACATACGCAATGCTGGAGTCCTGTAATCCTACAATAAATCTCTATGCATATTTAACGTCCGTCTTGATTTCGATCTTGTATCCATTCACATTGCCTGTTTCCATCAATTTCAGATTTCAAAGATTTTAGTTCAATTTACTCTTTTTTTTTTCAGTTCTAATAATTAGTGGAATTCGATTAATCTGCAGAATATAAAAGCAGAATGTCTCTATCATATGAATTATAAAATTTAATCTTCCGGAGCAGATGATTAATTTATTGAATCCGTTCAATTGTATTCTTTAAATGTTATATCTACAGATTTGAATTATTGTTATTAAAATAAATTTATAATATTTAATTCCTTTTTACATGAGTTACGCCATTCTAGATTCTCGAATTTATATTTTCATGATATGCATAATTACTTCTCATGAAATGCATTTAATACATTTAATTGTATTATGTGCGATGATACCCATGACGTTGTTCCGAAATTTCTCGAAACAACGGTGAGATTTCACAAATAAACGGCAGTGATGCGTGACAGGGCATCACTTTCCAGAAGGGCGGCGAACTTTTGGCAGACGGATTTGTGAGAGTAACACAACCCTTTGAATGTGACGGCTGTCCTTCGCCCCATGCTCGATAGTCGAAGCAGGACAGAGATTCACCTGTCGATCAATAATCATGTATTTTTTGAATTTTATATTATAAAAAAGTTTTTTTTGACATTCGATTTGAAGAGGTAATCTTGCGAATAAAACGCGGAAGTGATGATATCATAAATTACCGAATTCGTTCTTCCAAATTCTTTCATTTCTTTTGCTGCTGAGACCAACAAATCTGGAAAGATTCTGCGACATTAATTTGCCGAGGCCTTCCGTGCGTTCCTCGCTTATTATATGTGCGAGCGATGCGTTTCGTTTCTGGCAGAAACTTCGTGCCTCCGTGTAATTTAATACTTCGGACGAGAATATAAACATTCCCGTTTTAGGGATGCACTCCAAAGTAGCATTTACTGAAAGCAATCTTTATTAACATGTCAGAAGCTTATGTTTCGAAAAATTAATTCAGGTGTGAAGTAAATGTCCTAATAGCTATAAAGAAATGTGAAGATATATGATTTTTTTGTTATAATCAATTATAATAATTATGACGAAAGGAACATCATCAATATTATATGAACGTCATCATGAGAACATTTTACATGAGAAGTGATATTGATTTTTTGATTATCGAGAGAACAATATGTAATATGTAGTCACATAACTTTGTTTTCTTGATTAAAAAGTAATATCATTTCTCATATAATAATATTCAAATGAATATTACTTTCAAACAAAGTTTCATATGACGATAATGACTTTTCTCGGTAATCGGAAAATATTGTAATATACAATTTCTGACAGAATATGTTTATCACATTATCATATTTTTACATAAAATTTGTGATTTGTATTTACATGAGTATATTTGTACCAAAACAAAAGCAAAAACTCTGATTTCTCCTAAAACATTGATATAATTATTTTCTCATTTCAGCTTCATTTTGGTATAGTAGATTTGACAAAACAATAACGATATGGCAAATCAACAACATATTTACCAAATTAATGGCTCAATTCTAAACAGAATATGTTATGAGCCTTACGATTCTGCTCTTTGTTACTTATAATATAGAAATATATTGCAAAAGTATTATACATTTAGTACTATACAGCTAAATTTAAAATAAAAAATTTAGATAAAGATTTTAAAATACACACACATATACAATATATGATCCCATCTTTCCGAAATAAATAATTTCTTTTCCAATGATTCACAATTAAAATTGTAACATTTATTATACAAATTATACATTTATTATTTATTTTTTCTTATTATATTTTTATTTTATTATTTCTTACTGTCATTTACAAATATCTTAAAAATTACAAATATATGTATTAATTTTTTAATCACTGAATGTATTTAGTTATTAGGACATTTCTCTTATAATAAAATGATGACAGCTTATATACTAATGTACAAATTCCGTGGATCTTTATGCGGTTGATGTAATTATAATTGTAACTACCAAGCGGAGATAAAACGGGATACATGCTGTAATATTTGCAATTTGCCTCGGGTACGAGAGTCGTCATATTCTGATCTTCGGGACATTGAAGTGCTTGACACGATAGTTCTTCTCCACCTGCGTGTTGGTAAAGAAATATCGTAAGAAAAATGTACCAGGAAATTACATGAAACGTGTATGCTGAATTAATCACGTTAATTGAACGGCTAATAATTACATCGCATTTTATATAGCATGGTTGCACTTGTAATTCGCGTTATGTCTCGCGATAATTAGGAAGCGGTGTCTATCACGTAAAATTATCATAATTATATGTTTTGTAATTTATACGTTTAATTGCCTGCCATATTCGCATACCGGTGCGGTTTCTCATGGAAACAAAATTGAAGGCGAGGGCTTTCTTTGATGCGGCAAATTTCTTACACTCGTTCACATTAAGAACCACTCTTCGTGATATGATCGGTTGACTTGAGCGCAAATTGGTCTTTATTAAATCGTATTGCGGCAATTCGTGGTGATCGATTAAACAACAGCGATCGCAGATAACTATAAAATACGCTGCGTATATAAACAATAAGAACGACATTAATTGTAAATTAAAGCTTGGCATTTCGTAAATATGCTGTCTTAAGATTTTAAGAGACGACACGATTATCTCAGAGCACACTGTGGACGCACTGCGACTCACGTAATGTACGTTTTGCGGATATTTTTTTTCGGATAATAGAGATGCAAGTGTTACGTATTTCCGACTTCGGAAATACACATCAATCAGACAAGATAATTATGATATTGTGGGAACATTGAAATCGTATACATGTAGTAAACATGTAGGTAAAACAATATCGTCACATAACTTCAATAAATTTTAATAATAATAATAAATAACTTCAATAAATTCTAATTATTAATAATTTACTTATTAATTAATATAAAAGTAAGAATAATTTTATGACATTAAAAGAAGAAATCAAATGGAACTAAAATGCCTAAAATAAGCTTTCGTGATTGATAGGTACACTGTAAAAAAATTGAAAATTTTTTTCTCAGTGTATAAATAATATATTTATAAAAAATGATAAGATACAATTCAAATAATTGGAACGTCGATACCAATAAAGTTAAAAAAGATCTGTGAAGTTGGCACCCTTAATCCGAATTTGACAAAATTTGTTCAATGATCTACAATTTGTTCAAATTTGTCCATAAAAATTTTTGTTTGCCTTAAAATAATTGTAAATAAACAAAAATTCTAGCATCTCTATGTGCATATTTCCTTTTAAATATGGAATTTATAAATAAATATTATATACATATATAGTGTATCTTCAAAATTGAAGGATTTATAATTTAATCACAATGTTTTTTAGTCTCTAATAAGATATGTATTTAATTAATATTGTTTAAAAATATTTATTTAATTAATTTGTCACTTTAGAGTTATATATAGAATTATGTATAAAAGGTATGACACACTAGAGAAGTAATTTTTGTTTTAATATCGCAATTAAATCTAAATACTGTCTAATAATTTACTTATTTAATTTACATTTAAAAATACTTTTTATTTAATCAATTTGGCTGATCTTTATTATCTAAAAAAGGAATTAGAAAAATGGCGTTATTTTTACTAATATGTGCCAAAGGTATTTTTATTAATATATACATATATTATATTATATACATCAGATATCTATAAAGGCATGGCACACCATAAAAGTAATATTTACTTCAAAAATTCATTATATCAACAATATGGTTTCATGTTATTTATTCTTTTTTTAAATTTAAATTCTCTTCTCTTGTATATCCTGCCTTTTGTGCGTGCCGTCGCAGAAAGGTCGATTTGATGTTTGTTTGCAATTGCACAACCAATAGTCCTTATTTTCTGTAACAGTGAAACGTATGGGCCTCAGCTTTATCTTGAGGAAAATGTCTTTGTGCGTGCCATCACAGAACGGCTGACTTTTGCTCCGTCCACATAAGCACCATGAATAAATTTTGCCAGCTTTAAGTTGTATCCTGAATGGCTTTTTGTCATATATCACTCCAGTTCCAACTTGATCATTGGCACTGTACACATCTTTCAGAGGATTCGCAGGTATCGGTGGACCGTCAGTTCTTTCTGTAGAAAACCGAGAGACCTGAAAAATTTGAGAAAACACCAAGTTAAAACCAAAGCGAATTTCATTTTGTTTTCTTCAGAGAGAATTACCATTTCCAATTAAAACAGTCGATTTCGACAAGATTTTAATGACAAGATAATTTTACTTCTTACTGTTTACTATCCTTACAGAAGTTCAATTTTATACTGACTAGCTGTAAAGTAGCGAATAATTACTTATTAGGTCAGTAAGTATGAAATGTCTAATTTTCGTAATACTATTAATATTGTAGCAACTGTAAAAAACAAATTTAAATTTAAAAAAAGAATATTTAAATGGAATTTTTATTTAAAAAATGCCGCTGTTTTTGAGTTCCTGCGAGTTTAGTAATGTTTATATATAGAAAACTGAGTATTAATTTAGGTTAGAGATGAGATAGCGCAGGTTTATTCATATCAACGTACATTATTACGACAAAGAATACTCAGACGAGCGAGTTGCGGGTATCGATTCAGTATAATCATTTCGTTGACTCACGCAACAATAAATTACGCTAAATTAAAAGTAGCAATCACACTTCAACAAAAAGCAGCAAAGTGTTCTGAGACTGAAATACTTTAACCTCTCTCTCGCGTACCAAATCTTGTACGATAATATTTTGCTTGGGATGTCACCAGATGTCACGAACTAAAAAGGTCGCATGAAGGCCGCACTTGAACCGAATGTAGGGTTTAGTATACGAAAAAGGTTGGTAGTCCTCTCAAATTTCTTTCGACAGGGGATCTTAAAAATCTCTAGAAAACATGCAATTTGTGCAATATTCTTATTGGAGGAAATATCACAGAACAGTCAATTCATGATTAACCACGATCTTAAACATATCTTCGCGAATTAAATAAGAATTACTGTTAGACTCGGACTATTCAACATCGACGAGGATACTGTACAGAAGGAATCAGTTTTACCGACTATAATGAAGTTTAGTAAAAGGAAGTTCGTAGCGCGAACTAAGGCCGGTATTCATAGTCAGTTCTTATATTCAAGACCGTCTTAAGTGCAATTTTGAGGTGTCATGAACCAATCAGACAGCTGCATTAGCATCTTAAGACATTACTTAATGGGCCTTCTACAATAAGCCATTACTTAAATTTTAAGTATTAAATCATAAGAAATTTACCAATCACAATCGAATGTGAGAAGAATAATCGACTGTGAGTGGTCAATTTCTTATGACTTAATACTTAAAATCTTTGGTAATAGCTTATTGTAAAAGGCCTATAAGACGATCTTAAAATAAGAACCGACTATGAATAATACCGGCCTAAGAGAATTGCGTTCTAATCAGCACGCAATATTAAAAAAATATTTTTTTAATATTTATTTAAATATAGTATCTAAAAAATATTAAATAAATATTTAAAATATTAAATAATTTTGTAACGAAATATTTAAAAAATGTTTTTTAAATATTGTATGCTGATTGGGATGCGGGATCACGTCCAGCATTTTAATGTTTTAAATGACGTTAAATTTTGCGAAACTATCTTCAATAAACTATCTTCAATAAACAAACTAATTTGTCGTCATTCTGATTATGTCAATACGATGACAAATGTTAGCTGGTTATTTGCTGAGTTAGTATGATTGGACATTATAATATAGTATAGATTAAGTTATTAATATTCGTTCTTTTATAATTTTACATCGAAACTTGATAAAAAGGATCAACAATTAAATTGTATTATTAATTGCTATTATTTTTTACTGAGAAATATTTAATCGTTAATTTAGGAATAAAAGTAATAAAATTTGACAATAATTTTTTAGTGGTAAAATTTAAAATAAAGCGTTTTTAGCGTTTTTTTAATATTATTAAAAATAAATGTTGCTGAATCTTATAAAAACTAAAAGTAATCAGCATTAAACACGTTAATTTAGTGATTTTTAATTTATTGTACGCATATTTACACTAGTAAAATTATAGAGCAACTTGCATGCTGATCTTAATCTCTAATTTGATTTGTAACGTTTACGATCTTTATTAGAAGTACTTATAACATTCGATTACGAGCATGCGAGTAGTTTTTGATGCAAATTGGCCGATTAGAAACGTTGTCGCGTCCCATTCACTTTCGCTGACGAAAGCGAGGAGGACATGTATTTGTATATATGTATAAGAAGTGACAAGTAAAAGAAGAAAGAATACTTTTGAAATTGCATTATAAAAATTGTATACATCGCGCGGTGATCGCGTGACGCACGTAAGTGCAATTAGAGGCAAATACTTAATTCAATCGAGTGGCAATAAAACTAATGCGGATTGCGATTGTAGAGTCCAACTTGTTATTATCTTAAGCAACACGTTAAACGAGCGATTGATAAGCCGATATTCATGCCCGCGTAAAAGAAGAACAGATGTAATAACGTACTAAAAAATTCAGTGAGTATAACATATAAAAAAAATTATCATAATAAGCTATTTAAGTATAGTTATTCCGTTCAATTTGTTTAATTTCCTCTTTTCTTAAAAAAATTAAATTACGCGAAGGCACAGGAATGGCATATGTTTTTGTGTAGTAAGATAAAAGTAAGTAACTTTTGCGTTTTACGAATGCACCGCCATGAGATGCATTTGCGAGGGTAATTGACCGTTCACGACACCGTGAAGACGTAAGTGGAGCGAACACTGGAGTTATCCCTCCGAGATTCGCTTGCTTATATTGATTAGAAAGCCGATAAGTACGTGTAACAAACAATAAGTATTGGAAAGATGCCACTCAAATAGAGATTAATCAACATAATTACCGATATACTTAAGCTAAAGGATTGACACGTTTTTGTTACGTGCTTTCCTAAGAGAATGGCTGGCTGTTACCAAATTATATCGATTATAGAGATAACATTCTGGTTGTTATGTATATTATATTATAGTAGATTATCTCAGAAAGAGTTAAATTATAAATTGGAAACTGATAAATAATTACTTATTTGGAGTTTTTTTAAACCCTGAGGTTCCTTATATTTTTTTACGAGAACGATCAACTGGAGCGTTTTTATACCATAATTAAACTCATTATTATGAACAATTTATTGTATATTATTGGTTTTCCGTTTTATTAGTATCTTACATTATGGATATGAATTTAATTTAATTTTTTTAAGAAAAGAGGAAATCAAACAAATTAAACGGAATAACTTAAATAGCTGCTTATTATGATAATTTTTGACAAATAAAGGTTTTAATCAATGCAATGCTTCTTTATCGTTAATTTGTGATGGAATTATAATCAGAGATTCATAAGAAATGATATCCATAAAAAGTAATATTTTTAGGGTATAATAATTTTTACACTTTTTCGTCATTTGGGGTGTAAGAATACTTTAAGACTATTCTTGGATTAATACTCAAAATAAATTATTTTCAGTACTGAATTGGATTTTTCTGTAAAGGACCGCTCCCATGTCAATCGTAATTCCGATCACTGCTTATTATATGGTATTTGTTCGTATAATTAGCAGTAGATATATGTTGCACGCCTCGCGTGCAACATAAGTAGCGGTTCGAGTAGTAAGACTCTTCAAAGATCGCTTAATCCTATTTGGGACCTACTTTTAAAACGTGCGGGAGAGAAAGTAAGAGGAGCTGCCGATGGAGTGACGGCGGTCGCGTGCTTGAGAAAGTAAAGTCCCTTTCGCGCATAGAGATGTACACTTGCGTATACATTTGCGCCGATATACGCAGCTGTATACACTGTATATATTCGCCAAACCGATCTATATGGGTCGCGAAAGGAAGTTAGTATGACTAGCGATACATAAGAGCTTCATCTCGATCTTCTCTCACCTTATTTGAAAACTTTGATACTCCGAAAAATTATTTTTCACTAAATTATAATTAATTATAGCATAGGAAAAAGTAAAAGTAGTGAGACAAAAATTAAGATAAAAAGGAAGTTCTGAATTAACCATTTATATTAAAAATTAAAATTAATTTATGTTGATATTTAATTTATAAGATTATAGGTTAATTGCATTCAATGCAACTTTACAAAATGTTTTACACAGTTTGAGATTAAATTAAGATTAATTCGCATTATTTAATTTAACATTATACATTAAATTATTGCACTTAACGCATCGCGCGCAATATTTTACAGAGTTTCTAATAGAGTTAATACATCATTTATAAAGCAATAAGCCTTGCAAATTATTGGAGCAAGTATGATAGTACATTTTCCTTTTACGAGGAAGGTTACGAATAGAATCCTTTTATATCGCTCTAATTAACGTCATTCTTGTGTATTACACGTGCAGTGGTAGCCATTTAAGATAATTACTTTACGATTTTTGCGATAAAAAGAATTTTCATTTCATAAGCTTGATTTCTTGAACTTACCTTTCCTAACGTATCTCGAGTATAAAATAATGTTACGCTTTTTAACTTTTCATAGTCCGATTTTTATTAATTATTTATCATTAACAAAATGATGATTATGTTATTACTCTTCGTAATATATTATTACCATTCATTAGCGATGAATAATAGATTTAAAATGTATGATGAATTAATTCCTTAAACAATAATTCTTTTTGTAGCTCTAAAATTGTGATACTATCTTAAATAGTGAGTCATTATTAATTTCCAATTTTTAAATATATATATATTGCAACAAACATTTCGATGTCGCACAACAAAGTTGCTAACCAGCTATAACATTTGTTAAACGCAGGATGGCAAAAAATTTGGTCCAAAAGTTCCATGTTCATCAAATCATTAATAAGTTAATATTATAAAAAAACAAACTATTTATAGTTATTAAATATCTTATTAAATATCAAGAATAATAATTAACATTTAAAACGACCACTTTTAGTTTTGATACTTTAAGATGATTCGGGAACGTTTCGACAATACCATGGATTATTCCATGAATATAAGTTCTCCTCTATAGGCAGTGAATAGAGAGTTTTACCAACAGATATAATTTTGGATATTTGATAAGACTAACACTTCATTTAAAAAAAAGGACAAATTCTGAAGAGATAGTTACATCTTATTGTTATTTAGATAATAATTCGATAAGCACACAAAACTGTGGCTAAACTTTTTTCTCACTTCGTACACATCCTCGATTTCAACAGACAGAGGATATACAACCGCATTTCATCGTCTGTCCTCTTCCTGCTTCTGTAGAAATTGTAGCTTATTATTAGATAAACTCGTTACTCAATGCTCGTCAATGCATCAATGTAGTAACGCGATTGCACTGACACATTGCCTTTTTCATTTTCGCTCTGGTTAATATTACGTGCAGTAGCCATTCGCATTCCATAGGTAGATATTTATCTATTCGCGTCACAATGGTTACGCGGGCACGTATTGTATACGCAAAAGACTGTGCAACGTCGCATCGTCGCTTAATTGTATCTCGGCATCTTTAGACTTCCTTAACGTTGCACAATATAAAACACGGACCCGTTTTTCTCCTTTTCTTTTCATTCTATTGCAACATTAATGTTTCTTTACTTCAATTAATTCACGAATTTGCACGCGCCTGAAATAGCTGTCGAGTTGTGCATTGACTTTTTAAGAGACTTCGATTGCGAATCGCATGCAATCAAACCGGCATAACTCTAA